CTTATCTCGAGAAATACTACATTCGTCTGTGAATTCTATCGTCTTCAGAAAGTCACAATTTCTTCTAATCATTTCCAGCATCCAATTGCAGAATTCAAGACGGTTCGAAAAGTCTCGCGGTACCATTGTTTGTACTCGTTGCAGATGGTAAGGGTATAAGAGTTGTTCCTTTAAAATTCGAAAAACCGTCATATGATCAATATTTTGCTGGAAAGCAATCTTTCTAGTACTGGTAGTAGGTTTTTCTTCAATCAAATTGAGTACTGCTTCCTCAAACTGTGGTGTTCGTACTTCTCGATGGCGACCACAACACTGCGTTCTTCTGTCGAATGAACCATATTCTCGTAATCGTTGATGAAGTCGAGCAAATATTCTATGTGAAGGATGCTGCCGTTGAGGATACGTTTCAGCATATCTTCTAGAAGCTTCTTACCCATTTCCCTGCCACAGACCGTAAACGTAATGCGTATCAGCCATTTCCTCATTTGTGTATGTCATTATAATAACAAGTGAATCATTGAAGTAACAAATTAGGAACAGAACAACAATACACAATTAGTATTAATTCAATTTCGAAAATTCACAAACTGACTGCGTCATACCAATTTACTTGTCACTGTCGCTAATAGCGACCGTAATGGAGAATATGCCAGTCTTCTGGAACCAATCCGGAAATTGACACAGTCACCGTAAGGCCTCCATTGGGATCTTCTGATCACAAACTCATTTTAGTGTTGAGAGAATATTCGGTGAATGTTAGGAAACAACCTAAGTGGCGCAAAATTTGGCTTTACAGATCTGCTGAGAGGAAGGATCTTCAAGACTATTTCCGAAATTTACCCTGGCGAGATGACTATTTCAGCTCTAAACATCCATCAACTTGTGCTTCTGGAGTCAAGAATTAACTGCTTGCCAATCCCAGCGGGTCTAGATCCTTCTGGTTGTAGCTGAAGCTGTTAATCTAAACTTTACAACATTAGTCTGAATGTGATTGACAATGGTTCATGATGAATTTCATTAGTTCGGAATTCCATTATCTAATATAACATAAAATGAATTGAAATCTCTAACAGAACTAATAAAAATGAAAAATTAAAATCAATAGCTGAAAATAACAAATATATTAAGCAAACAATCCTGAAATGAAACGCCGTGAGTTAACTTGGCTTGGAATCTCTTAATTTTATTTTAAATTTTTTATTGTTTAATTTTTTACTTGTATTTTATTTCACTGTAATTCCATTCCAGTTTTTTTGCTTAATACAATTTTTATTTTCAGCAATTGTTTTAAATCTTTCATTTGTATTGGTTGTTTTAGAATGGAAGTCCGAACTGATGAAAAACTTTACGAAATCAAAAATTCCACCACTAACACAAGCGGATGGTTCAATTACAAGAATAGCCATATAAAAAGCAAATCTACCAGCTGAACAATTCGCAACCCACTCCACAGTCGATTTTCTGGGAAAGGTGCCATCCACTATTCCCACACTACAATCCACAATGTCGCAAATTCCTTTACGACAACGTCTAGTTGAGCGAATTCTGAAACAACTCAATTTCAACAAGTTGTCTGGTCCTGATGAAGTGCCCGTCATCGTACTGGAAAAGTGAGCAAATGAACTCGCGCCAGTATATTGCAGACTTTTCAACCTGTCTCACAAGAAAGAGGTTTTTCCGTCTTGTATAGAGATTGATCGCGTTCAGCGTTCCCAAAAAGGGCAAGAAAGATCTTCCAAATAACTATAGACCAGTCGCTTTGCTATCAGTGATGTCAAAAATCATGAAGAAAGCCGTAAAGCACCATATCTTTAAATATTTGGGAGCCTCCAACATGTTGAGCGATCATCAACATGGCTTTCGGTAACAAGATCAATAGGCGACCTTCTATCGTATGTTACCAATATTTGCAATAACGCAATCGAGAAACATAGAGAGTTAAAGACTGTGGCGCTTGATATTTCTAAGCCATTTGACCGTGTGTGGCATGAGGGTTTTGTGGCCAAATCTCGAATCTATGACTTGTCGGATCATTTTTGTGTATGGCTCTCCAGCTTCCTGAAAAAATGTTCCCTGCAAGTGGCCGTCGACGGATATCCATCGAATACTTTTACCATCAACGCTGGTGTTCCCCAGGTATCTATATTATCTCCAATCCTCTTTCTATTGTATATCAACGACTTATTGGAAAAAACCAGGAATCCTATATATTGATTTGCCGACGACGACGACGTCATTTCATTTGGATTCCACGACATGGGCGACAGATGCACATCTTCACCGGCAGCAAGAGGTTGCATATCTTCATGAGGATCTAGAAGTAATTTCGAATTGGAGAGAAAATGACTAGGTTCAATTCAATGCCACGCTCACCCAGGCGATTTTCTCCAAAAAAATGAATATCTCCGAATCGAATATAATAATGTCAGGTCAAACAATTCCACTTTCTGCCTCGATAAGTTTGTTGGAGGTTAAAATGGACATCAATATTTTCTCGCACAATTATGTCGCTGGAATTGCAAAGGCTATTTATCAGAATATTGGAACACTGTTCTGATTTGGAAAACTGTAGACAACTCAGCAACTTTTGATGCTTTATAAAGCTCAGATCAGACCTTGAGTATTGTTCCGATGTACGGAGCTTCGCTCTGAAGCATACCCTGAAGCTGCTGGATTCCATACAGAAAAAAGCCATCCGCCTTATTGGAGACGCGAACATCACTTGCAACCTTGATAGTCTGGAACATCTTCTATAGTAGAACTCATGTGAATGATATCTGATTTTTATTCCACAACGAATGTTTGAAATACAAACTGAGTAGAGAAAAGTATCTTCTGTATAATTCAGTGTTCATATAGAAGTATTTGTTTCGAAAGAATTTTTTCTTTCGTGTAATTCAATGTGTACATGAAAGTAGCTGTTTCATTAGGACTTTCTTCCAGTTTATGTCTGAAAGTTACTTTTTTGCATGATCTACACATCCATGTATAGAGTTACTTATTTTAAAATGGATTACTTCCTTCCTTTCCTTGGAAGATTCCCTCATCCTTGTTTTTTGTATCAAGATGGAGTAGTAGAAAGCCAAAAAGTTTCTTTCCCAAAAATTAATCACTATTAAAAATATAACCCTTTCTATTCAAATCTTCTATAGATACTTTCACGAAAAGTAATCAAGTGATTTGGCATATTTGATTCTACCGAGAGCGGTGAAACTCCTGCCAGACGGTCAGCTCCCGCTATCGTGTTAGGAATCACACGTTAAAAGATAAGACCTCGTTAGTCCTTAGCTCGCACAAGTTTCTCAATTTCTGAGAGTTGTCGTTCGTATGGGGGCGACAGCTGATTAACGGAAAAACAGATTTTAAACAGAAACAGATTTAATATCGATGAAGCTAAGAGACGGAAGAAGGGATAGGTGTGAAAGCCCTCGAATGACCTATGAATAGGTTCGATTGTGGATATTAACAATCGAAACGTCGTAAAGTAACTTGGCTTGAAATCATTCAATTTTTATTTTCTTTGCTTGTTAATTGTCAATTTCCAATAAAATTGTTGCTTGTATTTCATTTCATTGTAATTTCAGTTTTTTTTATCAATATAATTGTTATTTAGTTTTTTGCTAATATTTTCAATATTATTGGTTCATTCAGGGATTTCAATCATTTTATGTCATATGTGACAATGAACAAGTCCATTGTCTAATATGATATAAGAGCCACAGGTAAACAGTTGTTTCAGCCTGTTGGGCATCGTCAATACTGGGCAGGCGGTCCTCGATTGAAGACAAAATGTGAATAACCAAGAACAATAATTTTTGAAAATAACTGCGTAAATGCAAGCGAAACCACCTAATGGAATTATATTTCAGCAGCTTGACTGCATTGACACTTGAAATATTTTCAGTTATCCTGACGAAGGTATGAAGTTCATTTTGAAGAATTTTTTCAAAATGATTATTTCTAATTTGTATCTGTCATAATAATGAAAAAATTAATGAAAGTTTTGAACATTTCTTTTATAGGAAATTATTTTCAATGTTCTTGAAAAACATCGAATGAAATATATTTGTAGTTATGTTAACATATCCATAAACTGGACACTTTTCTTCGGTATAGTTTGGGTAATTAATAATTAGGTTATCAAAGGCGTCATTTCAGATGGCCTAACAATAGAACTTCAGCAAATCCTTCGAATAAGTTGGAAAATAAATTATTTAAATTCATATGATTGAACTCACTCATAGACATTTTGCTAAATTTCATCAACTTCTTAAGTAAGACGTTAAAACTGACCTAATCCAAAAGATTCGATAGAAAAATTCATTATGGTTCTATAGGAAGGATTTGAAGATTGAACAGATACAATCTGTCCTAACAAGACATGTTTCAATTAACTGAAAGGGCGTTCAAAGAAAAAAATCACACTTTTTTCCCTTAATTTCAAATTTTTTTCTGCTAGTATTTTTTTTCATAGACATCATATGGATTATAATCATGGATATAGGGAAACTATGAGAATTTGAAATTGTTTAGAAAAATTTATTATCAAATGAGGTCGTCATGAGAAACTGAAAATTGTAAATAATTCCAATGTATTCATTAGAACGATCCATTGCTCAATAAAAAACTTTCACTGTGAGTTATTTTCCATAAGCATTAAAGGATGAAGCGAAAAAGCGACAAAAAAATATAAAATATATTCAGACTCTTTCTTTATTCATTTTCATTAGTTAATCTTAATCTGATGATTTTTCAGTTTGAATAACATTCATATCAACTGTTATCAAGAAAACTCTTAGAAAACTTCGAATATTTGCGGTAGATGATTATTTTCATAAACTACACCTTACGATTTGATGTTCACAAGCTTCATTTTCAAAAAAATATATTTTTTCAAATGAAAATTGAATCGTGAGGTGTAGTTTATGAAATTACTATGGAACTTCATCAAGTAACGGCCGAATGAATCAGGAAAAAAAAGATAATTATGAACTAACTTCAACTTTTTCTGCAATATATTATCAGGACCCAATTGGTTTTCAAGCTATTCAAAAAATATTCAATGTACATTTTTGTGATTTTTCTCTGAAAAGCTGTACAACCACATCGAATCTGAAATTTTCAAATAAATAAATAAATTATTGCACGAAAATTGAAAAAAATAAAACTAATTAATCCATTTTGTATCCAGGTTGTAAAGCTAGTGGTAGCGGCATATCAAAACTCCGTCCATATCCAGAATGCCCATGTTGATAATCTTCATGAGAGGAGGTATGTGAATGGGTAACAACTGGTTTGGATATAACTTCATAAGTGGCTTTACCTCCTCCTCCACCAGAAAGGGACTTGAGTCCGACAATACCAGATAATAGGAGGGAAATCATTGCAGTCATTAATGCTTTTCCTGCAATGGCAGCTAATGCACTGAGAGCCAGAGCCATCAATGTCCCTTTCATCATAGCGGCTGCAGCGAAAATCATCCCCATGCCCCCACCTTTCTTTCCTCCTCCACCACCTCCGCCACCTCCTTTACGAGCAGACTCAGCTTCACTTTTGTCAAAGAGGCTGATTCGAATAGCATGGTTATTCAAATATCCTTGGATTTTTCTCAGGAAGAAGGCATCCAATCGAGCGTCTGGGTCATTAGGAAAGTTTCGGGCTAAATCGGTTACAATATCAGCAGTATTTTCACTAACGTTTTCACGCACTATTGATATTCCCGGAAATATACTGAAATTCTTATCCTCATTCAGTTTGTCCACCCAAGAAACAATGTCAAGTTTCAGGCAAGTTGTGGAATATGACATTTCACAATTTCTAGCGAGAGCTCTTTTGTATTCACTTCTGTCACTTTTATCATGTTCGTCTTCAGCGCTAGAGTAGACAATAAGAACAACAACTATTGCGACACGGATGTTCCACATTTTTATGATGAGATGTGAATTGCTAACAGAAGACTGATGGGGTTGAGACAGTTGTCGTGCTTTATATAGTAGAGCATCTAGATTAGAAAAAATGCTTGTTAAATTTTTCTTAAATTAGCGTCCAGTGGTTAGATCAGTGGAGTTAGTGGAGCACGAAGCAGTTAAGATCGCAAGTGATGGACATAAATTCGATATGAATATTTGATGAATTTTTATCGTTCTGTGAAATTAGATTTCAAATGATCATAATTGAAGAAACGGAATATAAATTTTATTTTTACAGACTCGATTTTCGCTGATAGGAATATTCTAAATAATAGACTTACTTTTCTCTCAATAACTCCAATAATAATCGATAAAATTATATGCGTTAGATTAAACTGTAAGTCTAGACACGAAATAGAAATAAAACGAAAAATAATAATATGAGGTAGACTCAATTGCATCGTGTGAAAACTGTTCAATTATTATTATGTATGGTCTCATTAATTTCATATACACAATATTGTTGTGTTGAGAATTAATACAAAATTTTTGACAACAGCTGTTATTGAATGATATTTTGTCAACATCGCATGTAGTGTCCAGGTTTTGGTATGTATTTTTTGGCTGAAATTGCAACTTTAATAATTTCTTTAAATCGTAATGCACCTCTCATTTCTTCAAACAGTTTTAATCTTCCAACTCCATCTGTTCATGTGAAATTTCATATTAAACTCCAAAATACAAAACAACACTAGCAGTTTTTCATGGTTTAGCATAGATGATGGGTCAACAAGAGCCTGATATGCAAAAAAAATTTAAAGATGGTCATGCTCTGTTGGAGAATCCTTAGAATTCTTTGGGTGGTGCCTCTGTGAAGATGCGACATCGGATTTGGAAAGACATATTGTATGATTGAGAAAATATTGAGTAGAACTTCGAAGCGATGGGCATCTATAGCTTGCTGTGTACTTCTGAGATATTCTGCCCTCGATGGAGGGCAGAATATCTCAGTCAGTTGAACATATTCTGTGAAGGTATATAGGAAAGTAACAACGTTCTAACCTCACATCAAGTTTACTCGTGACATTTGGTCTCCAACCAGGCTAGGTAAGAGTTGTTTTGGAAAAGCTTCATCTTCAGCTTTATAAATCATTAAATGTCTTTCTCTGAGATATGTTCAGCTTTCTAGCTCATAATGGCGTGCAAGTTTCTGAGAACCTTATTTTATATTTTCATAACATTATTGTGGAAAGAAATGTTGAAACCCAATTTCACATCAATAAGGCAGTAGAGCAAAGAAGTTTGTATTATTCAGGATCGATCATAATCAATTCGTTATCATCTCATAATTGAAACTTTTGGTCTTCTAAATAATTTAGAAGAATTCATGAAATTATCGATAATAAAAATAAATAAACATATTATGTTTTGAAATGATTTTATATGACAATCCGCTCATTGCATCTCATCTTCCATTCAAATATTTGGAAAACGATTAGATCCGTACAGTTAAATTGATTGAAAAAATCTGTACCATATTGTTAAAAGTTTTTCTTTGTTCCAGTGCATTCTTATGGATAGTTCTTCAATTGTTTTATTGCTAGGTTTGAGACATTCCTAGTATAAATCAACTGTGAGAAATTAAACTTTCTATATTTTTTCAACACTTTTATTTGTAACTAACGTTACTATAGTTTTGTTCTATAAGGATATTTTCAAACAAATACAATATACAATATTGTATTAGTTTGAAAATGTCCTAATAGAACGACAAATATCAAAGATCAATTACTCAGAAGCAAGTTCAGTACAATGGTAGAAAGATCAATGTCGATTACAATAAATTTTGATAATTCTCCAGTTTCGATTTTGAAAGTATATGTACTTGTATTGATTATAAAGAGAAACAAATAATACATTTTTTTCAAAACAAATGGCAAACATACTTAGCCAATATAGGTATACCAAGTAGATCAATATGATAAAACTTGTCTTGAATACAAAGTCACTATCAATAACACTATAGAGAGTTTGTTGATTTTCTTAAAGGCAATGCCATATATAGGCGCAAGTGTCGAATTCACGCTTCAACACTAGTATTGTTTGGTTGAACATCGACTTAGCGCAAATATATATGCGAATCCATGTTGGAGTACAATTGTATTTTCGATTGAAGTTCCCTGATTTATTGTCATTGTTGAAAAATAGTTGTGTTCTCGATTTTAGTTAGTTTATGTCAATTTCATTGTTGGAAGCTGTTAAATATTCAGTTGAATCAGTTGGGATTGTTTTCTATCTACATGGTAAGTGGTAGTTAAGTTGAATAATCATTATTTCATCAATAATCACGAAAATTTTAGAAAACGTTATCTTATCGAAATTACAGTTTCATGGTTTTTCAGAAGTTTTTTTTTTAATCGCTCATAACCTTTTCATCAACAGTAAAATGCATAAAAAAGTGTATCGAATATATTGTTTTTTCAACGCAACTATGGTGATTGATTATAAATAATCTAATGGAATTATTGATGTCCAATTCTATTTACCTTTTAAATTCCTGTATTATTTGTGTTGTTTTCGATTGCACGGACATTTTCATCGTGAGTCCTTTGTGGTGTCAACACAACAAAAAATCATTTCAACGGATTACATCAGAGCTGTATTGAGTTACTGTAATATTTCTAATGAATGTCAAAAACTGAAGGAGTTCGATTCATGTGATTCAAATTGTTATTAAATAGTGTTTATGATGCACTGTTTGGAACCTTTGGTGTAGTAATGAATATTACTGGAGTGTTTTCCCAACACCAAATCGTTATTTTTAACTCGTGTTTCGATCACCAAGTGATCATCTTCAAAGAGGAAGATTAAAACTAGAAACTAATACGAGCTAACCCTATTTGTGCTATATAGGTAACCCATACAGGTAAACCATCCAGGCGCACCAACCATACTGGTATACCAACCTAAATCAATTTTACAATTTTGCCTTATCTATTATTTTACAGTATATGTTCATATAAAACAATATTCAGCTATATAAAAATTCCTATATAGCATAAATAGGGTTAGCTCGCATTAGTTTCTAGTTTTAATCTTCTTCTTTGAAGATGATCACTTGGTGATCGAAACACGTGTCGAGGTGTTAAAAATAACGATTTGGTGTTGTGAAAAAACTCAAGTAATATTATATAGTGTGTTTTTATAGTTACAGAACTTTGGAATGGAATAAAAAAAGATGAATATTTGAATTGACATGAAATTCACTTCATTCGAAAGATGATTTTCTGGCACTATGATTTGAATATGACATCTGGCACATGAGCGCCTCGGCTGGTTCGGAGGTAGTCTAATCTAAAGGTCCAATTTTTGATATTCCCACAGAAAATAGTTAGCTGTGCACATCATGGTTGTTCAATTGATGAACAGAAAATTCAGTAATTATGACTGTATAGCAGTCACCATTGACTGTAACGTTCTCACCAGAATCGTTTTCAAAAAAGTACAGACCAATGATTCCACTAGCCTATAAAGCACACCAGTTAGTTTTTCTGGATGTAACGGTGTCTCAACATACACGTTAGGATTATCATAACTCCAAATACGGTCATTTTTCTTTATTGACGTATCCATTCAAACAAAAGTGAGTTTCATCGCCCAACAAAATTTGCTAATGAAAATCGGGATCAACGGCAATCTTATTCTGCAAGGCGTATATTCACCGAATCTACGCCTTGCTTTGTGATTGTGTGGCTTCAATTCTTGCAAGAGATGGATTTTGTAAGCACGCAAACCAACTTCTACACCCTTCATAAAGCACAAAATGTCCATTCAATGAGTTAGTGAATTTTCATTTTATGATGTTCAAAAATTTCAATTAGTTTTTACCGCAACGTGTTGCAGTTGTATAAACTGTCTGGTGAAAATTTCATAAAAAAGTTATATCCAAACTCAAGGAGTATTCGACAATAATTTGTTCATTTTCTTGTTGAAGATACCAGTCTACGAACAGGAATAGTTTCAAGAAAGTAATTCAAAGTCAAGGTGGAGAAATTATTTATGATGTTCATAAGTTTATGCAAACGGAGAAAGATTTCTTGAGCAATTTATGAGAGTTTTCAGTCGAATAATTTTGTGCTTCTTACTGTAGAAGCCACGTGCAGATATTTTCAAGGTTATAGACGGTAAGATTATTATTTGTTATATCTAATGAAATATTCATGACCCTTGTACACTGAACGCAAAGGGTTTTGTACACCAGATAACAAAAGTATAAGTACAACTCAATTTCTGATGAATATAAGATGAAGTGACTACCAAATTTCAAAAAATGCGTTGAACATGTGTTTCATTCTAACAAAATGTAATGTATTCAAGTTATTCATAAGTATTTCGTTTCGAAATTTTTGGTTACTCTTGTTTATTTCTGAATATGATAGACATTACAGATAGGTTGTGCCCAAATACGTATGAATAATTTTTGAACTCAACAGTTAGCTCTGTTCTTTCTCTTCAATGAGAATGAAGCACATTACTGCTGTTATTTTCATCGCTATGAAAATGAAGAAATGTAATTTTTTATGTTACTATTATTATTATCACTATTTTCATTAGTATCGTTGGTTTTTAATGGATCGTTTGTTTCGTTATCGTAATAAATTTTTATTGGATATGTTTTTGTTACTATTATTATTATCACTATTTTCATTAGTATCGTTGGTTTATAATGGATCGTTTGTTTCGTTATCGTAATAAATTTTTATTGGATATGTTTTTGTAAACTCAAGTCATAAATTGTCATTTTGTATTCATTGCTGTTAACAAAAAAAGGGCAAGAAAACATTATCCAAATATAAAACTTACAACAAGGTGTTGTTTTTTTGTAAGGGTCAAATTTTCAGAGCAGAATAGACTAACCAAAACATATGATATTATTATGGAATGACATATTGAATTATGTCATACTTTTTATTTTTTTGAAGTAGTGTGAGATGAAAAAGTCAATAATGAAAACAAATAAATAATTTATTGAGTATGGAAAAATAAATAAAAAAAAGCGAAATAACTTCTCATGCGGGTTTGTACTCTGGCTGTAGTCCCATCGGCAATGGTACGTCATCGAAACTTCTTCCATATCCTGAATGCCCATGGTGACCATAATCCTCATGGGCGGAAGAATGTGAACTGGAATGTGTGTACACAGGCTTAGAAACTACTTCGTATGTAGTTTTTCCACCTCCACCGGAGAGTGACTTTAGTCCAACCATGGCAGAAAGTAGAAGGGAAATCAAACCGGTCATTAAAGCTTTTCCAGCAAGAGCAGCCAGAGCTCCAAGAGCTAGAGCCATCAGAGTTCCCTTCATCATGGCACCCATAGCTAGAATCATGCCCATTCCTCCATCCCCTTTTTTACCACCGCCTCCAAAACCACCACCGCCTTTGCGTCCGGTAGCAGCACTATCTTGGTTGAAGAGACTGAGCCTTATGGAATGATTATTCAGGTACCCGTATACTTTCTTCAACAAAAAAGCATCCAGTCTGGCATCCTGATCGTTGGGAAAATCTCGAGCTAGATCAGCAACTATTTCGGCATTATTAGCTTTGGCGGTAACATTTTCACGCACAATTGTAACACCAGGTAAAACACTGAAATATTCGTCTTCGTTCAACTTATCCACCCAAGAAACGATATCCAATTTCAAGCACATTGTCGAATAGGAATGTTCACAGTCTTTTACTAGGGCCTTTTTGAACTCACTCCGATCACTTTTTTTCGATTCTTCAGCTGAAGAATTCAGAATCAGAACAATCGCGAGCAATACCCGAATACACCACATTGTAAGGTGTGAAATTGTCAGTGAGTGACTGATATCGTTCTTGAAATACTCAGTAGTTTATATAGTTGTGGCGTTAGATTAAAAAAAATGTACTTTTTAACTACCTAAATAATACTCTCTAAGATTATGAATGAAGTTAGTGGAGCACAAAAGTAATTGTGAATGTAAGTGACGGGCGAAAATCTTGCATTTTTTTCTGACCAGTACCGGACTGCCAGAGATTTGTTTGGTGCATTCACTCAGCTATAGACTCTTATTTTATTTTAATATTGGAATGCAGAATGGAAATCTATCGTGAAAAACTTCCAGAGGACATCACTACTCAAGAATGATCCGATGTATAAGGGAATTATAAAGTATTTAACACGATTATCTGACAAAAAATATCACATGAACTCCAAAGTTTCCATGCAGAGTATTGTATAAAGGTATAAAGGCTCCTCCTCTCTTGTCGGACAGACGCTCAGTGTTTAGTGTGCGTTAGGCATATACTGTTGACAATATTATAAAAATGTAACCAACAAGCACGTAATATTGTTTTATTATGTGAAACGTGGCTTAACTTTTATGATACTAATTTTGTGTATATAGGTACATTATTTCTTCCAGAGGACATTACTACTCAAGAATGATCCGATATATAAGAGAATTATAAAGTATTTAACACCATTATCCGGCAAAAAATATCACATGAACTCCAAAGTTTCCATGCAGAGTATTGTGTAAAGGTATAAAGGCTCCTCCTCTCTTGTCGGACAGACGCTCAGTGTTTAGTGTGCGTTAGGCATATACTGTTGACAGTATTATAAAAATGTAACCAACCAGCACGTAATATTGTTTTATTATGTGAAACGTGGCTTAACTTTTATGATACTAATTTTGTGTACATAGGTACATTATTAGTTTCATCAGTTAATTCTACAAAAGTAAAAATTGGCTAATGATAGCTGTAATGTACATACACAAAATAATCAATTGAAGATTTTATCAATGAATAAACTTTCCTTACATTATCATATTAATATACATAAAATTCAGTAATAACCTAAGCTTTTCTCAAGTTAAACAATTTCATTTTTGGATAATTCAACTTAGATCAGTTTAAGTTATCACTTCTGTCGTCGTCATTCTCAGTTATGTATTTCAGTACTCAAATATATTCAGGTATTTCTGAATACAGCTCACTAAACGACACATTCAAGTCTGTGGAATATTATTGGCTGGACTTGATAGAAGTAACATACAAACTGTCCTGTTGAAGACGAAAACAGAATGTATATATTCTTGATAACAAATTCTGTAGAAAGTAGTTTCATAATATTTATTATGAGACTCAATCCAGGCATGATACATCATCTGAACTCCATTTCATTGAGTCCTCAAGCTATAGAACGAGGAGTAACATTTTGAGAGAGGCTTATGTTTGAATATTTCACCTGTTATAAAATAATCTAGTTCAGTAATTGTTGTACTTCTTCATAACATCGAATCCACGGAAATAAAAAAAAGAATCCCGGACTAACTAGTGAACCTCTCTTTATCGTATCATGAGTGAGAATCTATTGAGTCAGATTACCACTTACAGCTATGATCTGTGGAACTACGAAGTCTTGGTTCCTAACTGAGTATTTTGTGTTCAACGCTACCAAAGTCACATTTAATTTGGAGAATCAAATACTTGTTCAAGGGGATGGAGTGTTTTAACCGATCTGAATTTTTGAAATATTGATGAGAGATATGGAAAGGAAGAGGGTCTCACCATTCAAAGTGCCATCTTGAGCACAAAGATGAAGTTTGAAAGTTTCTTTGAAGCATATATCATCCACCCAACGAGTTTCATCAGAAATGTATCGTCTTTTCGATATAGAAGTCATTACATGAGTGTAGATTCTAATTGTCGTATATGAAAATCATAATGTTTGACTATATAAATCACAACTATCACAAGGAATATGCATTAATAAATATGATCAAAACAATTTTGGTCATTTTCAACTTTCATGAATTTTCAATTCTATACTTCAATACGATGTTTGCATACCTACTGTATTGTAGTGAGTTGAAATATAAGAAATGTCTGATGTTTTTTCGAAAAAAAACTGAGGTTGAATTCCCGAACATTTTGTAATGATGAAAAATACCAGAACCCTATATTGATGTGTATTTCCTGTAATGTTTTGAATAGCTGACGCCAGTCTCACTTTAGTGTTAACCCAATGACCAGTGGTTTTGGATATGAATGAACGAGTCGCTCTGCTCGTTAGATCTTCATGCGCCAATCGCCAGTCAAACAAGTCATCACTGTTGCAGGAACTAGATCCTTTTTACACATTACTGCACTTGGCATCCCTAGAACTTTACTGTCGTTAGCAACAGGAGACAACTAGTGGCATCATCTAAATATATTTTTATTGTTTTTGACTATGAAGTACAAGAATAAATGTTGATTGAAACTATTCGATTAGATCTACACTGAATATGACATGTTGTGAAATGTACAAGAATTCATTTCCTATTTCATGTTGCAACATGTCAATCTAGAAATACTTTCAGAAATAAATTGCATATTCATCATGCAACCATTATCGGTACCGTTATTTTTTTCAAATGCGGTTTTTAAAAATTTGATTGGAAATATATGATTGAGTCAATTAGGATCCGTATTCATCATTAGGGCTCTAAAATTTTTGATCGAAAATGATTGGATCAATAAATTCTGAAAAGATAGCAGAAGGTTGATGGTTTTTTCACTTCATTCAATCATACAAAATTATTTGGATCAATAAGCTACTTCGATATCAAATGAATATGTTCTGCTGTTACAATAATTATAGAATGTATTTAAATGAAATCATTCTGCTATATTAATTGTGAAATGTTTCAAACTGTCTTCGAATCCGACCCTGAATATAAGAAACAATATCAATCTCCATCTGAAAAGTGGACTATAATCGTATCACCGAACCTTTCCTTCGATTTTAATGAACAGTTACCATTATTCTGCTACTTTCCGCTACTCCCATATATGAGTAACACTTAAAATATGCTACCTTTTACTTTATCACTCAGTCGCATCCACTCGTCCTCAATTAAGTCAGTCTCTAATGACTATCGTCGTGATGTTCAATTTGAACATGAACTCGAAGTCCATAATTTTTTATACATAATTGTTGCTATGTAGAAAAAGATATCATGAATGACTTCCTAATGAGACTTTAATTTATTCCTTATACACTCCTACGCCAGTTTCCATCGGAAACTGGCGTAGGAGTGAACGTATATTCAGTAATTTATATTATCAATTCTGAAGAAATATATTGTTAATCGTTTTCCAAACTACTACAACTGGCGTCGTTCTACGACATTTCCTATTGCTGATAAAAAATATAAAGCATGTCTACCACAGGCACGGGAAAAGAAAGTTACCTTCACCTTGCTACACTCAACTGATTATTCTGATGTATTGCATTTTTTTAACGAAAAGAGAGTGTACTTGCCCTCCAAATATGTCTACTATTCGTGTCGATGAGCATGATTGGTCATATTGAACAAATATTCGAACACGTTCGGAAGACTGTTTGCGAAGAAAAAGCTGACTGAATTCGTCAGTTAACAAATGAAATAACGTTTCATTAGACTGTCACAAGACCCAGAGAAAGAAAAGCAATATGAACAGTTCAATAATTTAATTAGAATGAACACAATAAATAACATAAAATTGAATGAAATGACTTGAAAGAAAATGAGGAACGTTTGGTATCACTTATGTTGGTTTATACTCTTGTTGCAAACCCAGTGGTAAAGGCATGTCGAAGCTCCTTCCGTAAGAAGAATGTCCGTAACCAGGATGTCCATGTTCTTCATGACCTATCGAGTGAGAACTCGAATGAGAGTAAATGGGCTTGGAAACAATTTCATATGTTGTTGACTTATGACCCTGACTTGTTAATGCCTTCAGACCAATGATACCAGACAGCAGAAGAGAAATCAAACCAGTCATCAGGGCCTTTCCAGCTATCGCTGCTATACCTCCCAGAGCTAGGGCCATCAGTGTTCCCTTCATCATTGCCCCAGCAGCCATCATCATTCCCATTCCTCCTCCCATTCCTCCTCCACCTCCCTTGTTGCCTCCTCCACCACCACCACCTTTCCTTGCAGATCCAACATATTCCTTGTTCATGAGGTCCAGACGTAGAGAGTGACTATTTAGATATGAGGTGACTTTTTTAATCAGAAATGCATCGAGGCGAGCATCTGGATCGTTTGGAAAATCCCTGGCTAGTTCAGCAACCATGTCTGCAGTATTGGCTCTGGCACTACTTTCCTCACGTACCACCGAAACACCCGGAATCACATTAAAATCATCGTCTTCGTTCAGTTTATCGACCCAAGAAACTATATCCAATTTCAAACATGTCGCCGAATAAACGTTGGCACAATCTCGCGATAAAGATTTTTTGTATTCACTTTTTGGTTTCGGTTCGGGTTTTATCTCATCCTCAGCTGCGATACTGAGGGATAGGAACAATATTTCAAATAACACTAAGCCTTTCTTAGAGAACATATCGTCGGTAATGTTCTCTGAACTACTGATGTTGTATTATCAGGCCATTCCGGTTTATATAGTAAACTTATAAGGTATTAGGAAAAAATAAAGCATCTTGTTTATCAAGAAACTGTGATTATAATTCATCATGAATGGAAATTGCTCTCTATACCAGTTTTCTAAGTTAAAACCTGTAACAGCGGCGCAACCGTATGTCATGTAGGGGGTCGTATATTTTATATTATTGTTCATCAATAACGTTAAAATTTACAGTGATTAGAGTGACCAAATGATCTCCAAAATTCTCTAATAACCATTATTCTTTGACTTGGTGTCCAATAATTGTTTCTTACATCTAATTGATGATTATCAATTATTATGCCCGCGAATAATTTGAATGAATCTTTCTCGAAGTGTAACCCAAATTTAAACTTCATACGTTGTTTATATAAGTGAAACATTTAGGTATAGGCAAAATTGGACATTCGACCTCTGAAAAAGATTCAATTTGAAATGATTCTAATTTTACGGGAGTGGAAATATTAAAGTCGAGAATATATTGATATAATCATTTTGAGTTTTATGGAACTCCACTGATATTTTATCACATTTCACGTAGAACACTTCCCAAACGATTAAAAAACCTTTATGTATTGTTCGTCTCTAATTTTATCTCTTGTTATATTCAATGGAATTTATAAAGTACATACCTTCTCGGAATTAAAAAAAGAAATTCAAGATGAAATATTTGACGTTCCAAGAACTTTTTTTCAAACTGTGTTTTGTTTTTGAATTTCACTAGTTCGGACTTCCATTGTCTACTATATGAAATGATTTGAAATCCCTGAAACAAGTAAAAAAGAATAAATAAAAAAGTCATCACCCGAAGACGATTGTAGATACAAACAATCGAAACGTCGTGAACTAACGTGACTTGGAATCTCTACACTTTTTTATTTTTTATTATTGTCTTTTTTCATTCCTTTAATTTTTATTTATTCAATTATTATATTTTTACCTGTAGGTTATTTCACTATCATTTCATTTCAGGTTTATTGTTGCTTAATATAATTGTTATTTTCAACTATTCTTTTTTAATTATTCTTTTTCACTTGTTTCAGGGATTTCAAATCATTTTATATAGTAGACAATGGAAGTCCGAACTAGTGAAATTCATCACGAAACATTGTCAATCACCTTCAAACAAATGTTATGTTTTTATCAATATTCGCTCATTTCTCATCTACTTCTCAATAAATTTGACCAAAGTGGGGAAAACGCTAATCTAACATTTTATAACAATAACAAGAACACAAATAATTATTCATATGTTTCTCAATAGGGGTGATTGGTTCATGAATATCTGATAAAATCATATATCAACATCAAATATTTTGGAATACAAACGTATGATGATGGTCATGTATTCCAGTTGTCAAATCGGGTGATGTCCAAATCATTTCATATCTTTGTTTCCTCATTCATTTCAGAAAACAAAATGGTTTGCTTTATAGATGATATCTTGTGTTCTGAAAAACAATGGCTTTGATTTGTTATGAAACGTAGTACTGGCAACCTCTGGCTTACAATAAATCAAAAACCAGTACTGTTTTTAACTATCAGAACTGCAACAGTCTTCTCGAGGCACATTTCACCAAGTTGGCGTCTTCAGAGTGTTACAGTCTTGGTGTTTCGGAACAATGTTTCTTTGCCATCTTATTTATATTTGGACAACAGAACTTTCAGATTTCTCACATAAGATAGTAATATCAAATTCTACGAAAATTCAGAAATGAATCTAACTATTTATTATTGTGATGTACAATTCTTATCTACTTGAAAGCCGCTTAATGTAGCTTCTTGAAGCTTTAATGTTATTTCACTATGTGTTGAGATATTTCAGTTGTATTGAAAATATTTGTCTACACATACTACTTGTTGAATAACAACATTTACTATTATCGCTACTGCAGAAAAAGTTAATTATTGGGGTGATAATTCTTAACAAATAACTACAATTTTTGGTAGTTAATATTTTAAAAAACACTTTTTTTTGCTGAAATATCACATGATTGTAGTGAATTTGAAACAACAATAGAAATGACAAACAAGCTTACTGAAAGCAAATATGATGGACATGATATGGAAAAAATCTGAAATATTGCAATTTTTCTTTAGAAAAGAGTAGATATATTTTAAAATATGTTATGGAATTGATCGATGGAAATACGCGATCACATATCTCAATAAAACTTCACATTCATTCATTTTCACCAAAAAGTTCACAGAACCGCGATGCGTATAACAAAATGAGATGGTATTTGAATATGTTACTTTAAAATAACTTGATACCTATACAACATCGAGAAGTATTGATACGTATCACATCGGGTCTGAAGAAAAATGTCAAATTAATCCAATCCGTTCATTTCCATACTCAGAAAAATACAACCACAAAAACTTGTTATAGTTTTTATCAAAAAGTGAACGAAAAATGAAGAAAAGAGAATTGAAACTTTCTATGTTTTTCACCAATTTTATTTGTAACTAATGTTACTTCAGTTTCGTCCTATAAGGACATTTTCAAACTTATACATTTAAGTATATATACGTTTGAAAATGTCCTTATAGGATAAAACTGCATAGTTTAATATATGAGTTCGAAAATGTCCTTATAGGACGAAACTGTAGTAATGTTAGTTACAAATAAAAGTGGTGAAAAGCATAAAAAGTTTCAATTCTCCTTTCTTCATTATGATCTTTAACCACATAATAATGGGTACATCCATCAAATTATTGAAACGAAAAATGAATTTCCACCTCTCCAGTTCCATATGCACTAACCAGTTCTTTTCACTATTTGATTCATGATTTCATAATTCACACATAAACTTAGATTTTCGTCAGAAAAATATAGTAGACTGACATTATTTCTCCAATGAAACTGTCTATAAATAAATGATTATTATGTCAAATGATTTTTGAGTCACATCACCAATGTATCGTTCTGCTAATATTTGTTTATTAATCATGAATCTCATTATGAAAAATAAACAGATTCAAAACCATTTCAATATGAGATTTTCACAACCTGGTTCAAATATCCTCATCAAATGTTTCATACTTCAAGCGTGTCTGATACTAAACTGTCACAGTCACGTTCTGCACCAGCAGCACAGCATAGTTTCAGATGGGTATTGAAAATATCTGAAGATGGTCTATCGAAACATTTGTTGTGACTTTGTAAAAATCTCCCAATGAAAAGTTACATGTTATTCATTTAACTCAAGAAGGATTCAACTTCATTATTGAATATCGATTGATAGAATCATTTCATGATCTGAGACTTGAATCCAAGAGACTTTTCACAAATACTTTGAGAAATATCTACTCCTCAAATGAAATGAATTAATTTTCTGAGACGTTTCGTGAAAGTTATTGTAGAAATGAACTTCTATTTCTATTTTCGGAAAACAGTATAGTATGAAAGAGTAATTTTGAAGTGACAAAAATTAATAGAGGAAACAAGTGCGATTCATTTTCAAATGTCCTCTTCAGTAATAATACAATAAAAATGGATCGTATGATCTAAAAATTAATTTCACCAAAAAAGTTCGATGTTCTAAAAAATATTAAAAATGAGGATTCACATTATGAAATAAACAAATTGAAGTAGTGAAACCTGGTAAGAATTCAAAATCAAACATTGAAGTAATAGAACCCCTATCCTAGTAAAACTTTCATGAAAGAGATTGCAGCATTGATGCATTCTTAATCTCAGCAAGTGAATTAATTTAATGAATCTAGTCTATACTTATTTCTTGAAGCAGTAAAACTAAATATAAGAATCTGAAAATGAATCGGTCGAGAAAGTAGAAAAAATGAAATGTTCTATATTAAAGAGGATGCTGTCAAGTGTTCCACATTCAGTTGAATTTTTTATGATATCCGCCTAGACATTAGTTAGTTCTCAACGTCATTTATCGAGATATCTAGGTCAGTGATAGAATTTCAGAATTGTTCAAAACATAACACGTTGCCTTTGCTACATATAATTGATATTGAATTGATTAATAGATTTGATTGATTCATATTCACAGTAAAATCAAATGACAAGTTGCAAATATAACAGAGATTCATATATCTTCATAAGATGAGATTAATATATTATGTTTAATCCCAGTGATTTTTCACGTAGAGTAAATTTTCACTGTATGAATTGAATTTGAAAATTGATCATAATGAAAATGGAAATGAAGGGTCAAATCATTATATCAAAGAGAAAGAAAGGTAATGGCTTTCTTCTTTTCCGTTTTTACTAGAAAATGTGGGAAATTTCCAAAGGAATCAATATCAAAATAAACTCTTCAGAAAGATGTGTAGATCATTCATGAAAGATACTTCTACAAACAAAGTGGAAGAAAAAGCCTTTTAGAAAGAACTGCTTTCCTATTCAGTTTGTATTCCAAACATTCGTCATGGAATTGATTCAAATATCATTCAGAGGAGCGCTACACAATGCACTATATAAAAAACTCAATAGCGGACATCGATATTTCGGAACGAGACACTCATTTCTTTGACTCTTTTTAAAAAAATAATATCACCTGAAAATATACCTCTTCCTATTTTTATCAAGATTCTCAACTCAACAGACTTATTCGGATTGGTAAGTTATTCTTTGTGACCCATTCCATATCCTAGCTCGAATATTTTGGAACTAATGACCAAGTCGTAACTTTTAGAGTTGTATCAATTATCATCAATAAAAATGAGAAGGAACTGAGAATAACTAAGTATATAATTTTCAAATGTGTGACATTTGCCAACGATTTCCATTTGTTGAAGCGATCCAAAGGAATGCCAAAATTTCATGATACAGATGTTCATTTGGAGAATATTGTACTAGATACATTATAAATTCACCGTTCAGAATGTTCAGAGGAACATTTTCAAAAATCCAGTTGCACTCTTAAATTAAATAGAACCCCATAAAACCATTTCAAGGAATTTATAAAT